AGTATACTTACCAGAATCTGTGATCTGGGTGCCTGTGCCCCTCATCTCCCTCAGGAAGCTTAAAGTATCAACATTTTCTATCTGCCAGTGAAAATGAAGTCAGTTTTGGAGTCACACCAGAGTTCCATCATCACTTTGCAAATCCTTACCGACACCATTATTTTCTGTGTACAAGGGCCATCTGTTTGAATTTTTACATCACAACTAACTTGAATAATATGGATAGCTGGAATACCTTCGCATATAATCACATCCAATGTCAGCATTTGGTTTATTTTAAATGCCTTTGCAGGAAACAGGTTGAAAAATAACATGTTCTCAGGTCACTTCTAATACCCAAATGCCAGGCATCTTTTCATTCTCTTTATATAGCAAAAAAATCCATTTTTTCCATTTCCAATATTCCCTCCAGGATTTCCTAACGATCGTAGCAGGATGTCTGAGATGCCTCCAATATCTTCAGCATTCCTTGATTTACTATGTCAATTCTCTTCCCAGTGTTAAATACCTTTGCTCTGCTCCCCATTAACCTTGCGCAATAAATATAAAGAGTTATTTTTGTCAAATTCCCATGGCCCATTAAAGTGATTTATTCTCTTCATCATCATTCTGGTTGCAAGGCTAATCCCAACCCTTACCATGGCAACAGAGACTGACAAGGAGTCAGCAACAGTAGGGCTCGAGGTAAGAGGAGGGGATGTTGGGGAAAGATCATCTCAGGTGGGAGAAGGGTTTGAGATGCAAATTGGAGAATCAAGAGCATGGGATCTGAATGAGATGAAACAGAAGTTGGTTGTGAGAAGACATTTTCTAATAAATATATGGTCTTATAATCTTAAGGCGCAACATCATCCAGACTGTAACATTAATTGGAAATGTAATTGGTACTTAATTCATTATTTTCAAATTTTGGTTGTGATGGTGGGAAAATCTCAGGGGACAATGTCTGCTTCCAGGCACTAGATCCTACAGGAAAAGGATGTGGATCCTACAGGAAAAGAATGTGCTTATTCAAGCACTCAGGGGCTAAGCAATGGGAAACCATCTTGCCATGAAAATTCATGTTGGACTCAAACTCTGATTTCTCTCTCCAGAGATGCTGTCAGACCTGCTGAGTTTCTCCAGCATTTCCTATGTTTGTTTCAGATATTTACTTCCCCTGGTCATATTTGCTTGCTGAAATAGGAAACAGGAGGCTCTTACAAGCCACCAGAGAGGAAAGTGTAAGAGTGTGAGGCACGGATGAAATGAACAGAGGACCTGGGCTTAAGCAGGGACATAGGATTTAGGAGCAGGAGTAGACCATTCAGCCCTCTTGATTGACCAAAATCATAGCTGATCTGGCTGCGGCCTTAACTCTGTTTTCCTACCTCCAGATATCACCCCAACTTCCTCCATAACCCATGGCTGGCAGATTACTATTACATACATTGGGACAGAAAACCAAATGTTCTATTAGAAGAACTCAGCAAGTCAGGCAGCATCTATAGATACAGGAGCAAAGATAGTTCCTGACCTATCCAGTACTTCCAGCATTTCCTGTTTTTATTTCAGATTTGAAGCATTTGCCATATTTTGCTTGGATATTAATGGTCCAGTTCAGTACAACAAGGTAAACATTATTCAGGATGTAAAGAGATCTTCAGAACCTTAACAGCCACATAAGAATAGCTCATTGGGGAGGCAATGACCTGGTGGTATCATCACAAGAATATTTAATCCAGAGACCATGGTAATGTTCTGGGAACCCAGGTTCATAAACTCACCTAGCAGCTGGTGGAATCGGACTTCTATAAAAAATCTGAAATTAAAAATGTGGAGGAGAAAAAGAAACATCTATTTAACTAATGTCCTTTAGCAACCGTGGAAGTTGGGTCATTCAGTGTATTCAGGGCTAAGACAGGAAGGTTTTTCTGAAGAAGGGTCCAGACCCGAAACATCAGCTTTCTTGCTCCTCTGATGCTGCCTGGCCTGCTGTGTTCATCCAGCTCTACACCTTGTTAATTCAGTCTGTGTTTTGTCTTCCCAATGGAGAGCGGTGAATACAGTAGACTAGATTGAGTGAAGAAGAGGTAAATCACAGCTTCATTTGGAAGGTCTGTCTGGGGCCTTGGATAGTGAGGAGAGAGGAAGTAAACAGGTAGCTATTATACCTTCTGCGTTTGCATGGGAAAGGTGCCGTGGGACTGTGAGGATATGTTGGGAATTGCAACAATTCACCTGGACTACTAGACCCATTATCATATTATATGGGTTGCTTTCAGTACAGCTCACTCATTCTCTCCTACTCTTACCTCTTACTGTCACTGATTCAGCTTTTCTTCTGTCATAGAGAGTCATAGAGATGTAGAGCATGGATCAGACCCTTCAGTCCAACTTGTTCATGTCAACTAAAGTAATCCAGTCCCATTTGCCAGCATTTGGCCCATATCCCTCTAAACCCTTCCTATTCATGTACCCATCCAGATGCCTTTTAAATGTTGTAATTGTACCAGCCTCCACCTCTTCCTCTGGCAGATCATTCCATACACGCACCACCCTCTGTGTGAAAAAGTTGCTGCTTAGGTCCCTTTTAAATCTTTCCCCTCTCACCTTAAACCTATGCCCTCAAGTTTTGGAGCTCCCCTACCCTGGGGAAAAGACCTTGAAAATTCACCATATCCATGCCCCTCATGATTTTATAGACGTCTATAAGGTCACCTCTTAGCCTCTGACTCTCCAGAGAAAATTGCCCTAGCCTATTCAGTCTCTCCACTCAAACCCTCCAAACCTGTCCTGGCCTGCTGTCCCTAATGTTATAGTTTGCTGCTTACACATCGCTCTCTCTTAGCACAGCCTCCACTTAACAGCTCACCTCTCACCTTCCCCATCTCCCCCATTCCCCCAGACCTGTCCTTCAGCATAAATACCACTTTTCTCTAGCTGCTAACAGTTCTGATGAAGAGTCAACAGACTGGAAACGGTGACTCTGCTTTCTTCCCACAGATGCTGCCAGACCTGCTGAGTTTCACCAGCAATTTCTGTTTTTGTTTCCTATGGTCTCATGTACTTTCTTTTATCCTTTGAACTTGGGAGGGAGGGAGCCAGTAAATGATAAAGTCAGGCGGTCAGCTTGGCATTATGTTGTGTTTTGAATAGGAATAACACCAGCGTATATTCGAACCAAAAGTGGAAAGCACAGGTGATCAAAGAGAGGGAATGCAACAACAACAGAAACTGATGGAGAAACTCACCAGGTCTGGGAGCATCTGTGGAGAGAAAGCGGACTTAATGTTTCCGGTCGAGTGACCCTCCTCCAGAACTCAAATGCTAGCAGGAAGACGTCGCTCGCAAAAGGTGAAAGCAGACAGCTCTCTTCGTGTGAAGAAACTTTACCTCCCACTCTGCCTGCTGAGAGATGAGCCAAGGCAGTTTTAATCGCAATCATGAGGACCAACTGAAAATGGTGTGGGAGTACTCACTTCAAGGAGGGAGAGAGAGAAAATCTGGCACCTTTATATGGAGCTTTTTGGGAGACTGAGGTGGCACACTGATGAGTGACGGATTACAGTGTTCATTATCCTGAACTGCATACCTCCAATCATTGAAGAATTAAAGTATTAACTGAGGGCCAGTACTGGATCGACACTGTAAAGTGGGCGTAGAGATAAGGAAGCGGTCTGCCAATATAAACTGCTTCCTTTGGGGTTCTTGTGGTGCAGTGGTAGTGTCCCTATCACCAGGCCAGGAGACCCGGGTTCAGGTCCCACTGTTCCAGCGGTGTGACAGGACACCTCTAAGCAGGATAATTAGGAGGAAATGGAACTGTGCCGTTGGATTCCCAAAACGTCAGCCAACAACTATGCGGCGCTAATAACAGCATCATAGGACAATCTGGCTTTCAGCCTGGTTCTGGGTTTCAGTTATGAATTGGTGAGTTTTACTTCACTTCTCAGCAGCCTCTCGCCTGCCCCAAGTCAGAGCAGGAGATTATTGTACTGCATTTGCGACAATGTATATATATATAGAGAGAGTTTTTATGAATAAAGTATATTTTTGAAATTAAAAATGCTTGTAACTAGTAACTGCTATTTTGCAGCAAATATCATCGGTGCCCCCACTTCTTATGGATTATGATTAGTGTCTAATCGTGGGAAATAATGTAAACAACAGCGAGGAAGGGTCACCGGACCTGAAACGTTAACTCTGATTTTCTCTCCATAGATGCTGCCAGACCTGCTGAGCTTTTCCAGCAATTTCTGTTTATTGTTGTAGACAGCAGCGACATTGCTTCTTTCCAGTTAACTGATTTTTACAACCTCCTGTGGCAGAGGCTGGTCAATGTAGCATTTGGCCGGTTATGTATACTAATCATTTCTAAGCTGAAGTATTGGCGGACTATATTTTTTTAAGAAAATCCTGAAAAAAAGGACTTGTAAAAATAATGATTTACAGCCTCAAATCTCCCAAACTATTTTCCTTTTGGGCTAGGGAAATTAAAATAATTCGAGATCCCTTACTTATGTGGGCAGTTTTTGTTAAGTCACGGCAGATATAAAGCGAGGATTTCTGAAGGGTCCCCACCCGAAACGACAACTTTCCTGATGAAGGGTCTAGGCCCGAAACGTCAGCCTTTCTGCTCCTATGATGCTGCTTGGCCTGCTGTGTTCATCCAGCCCTGCACCTTGTTGTCTCGGATTCTCCAGCATCTGCAGTTCCTACTATCACGACAATTTTCCTGCTCCTCTGATGCTACCTGGCCTGCTGTGTTCCTCCAGCTCCACACTGCGTTATCTGTGACTCCAGATCGGCAGTTCTTACTGTCTCTGAATGACTTTCTTCTTTCTGATTTTAATGAAATTGCTGGGGAAATATAAACAAGGGCGTTTCGTTTTACGGCGTGTGTTTTTTTTTGGAGAATCGTGCCTCGCACAAGGACGTATGCAGGCTAAAAGTTTGGAAGTGCAGCTATATAGTTTGGAGACAGAACAGTTTTTGTTGTATTTCCAAGTCCTAGAGGTAGGATCAGGGATTGTTGGTCAGTGTTTGAGCCTTCTCTGCCTGCCTGCAGTGACTACATACAAACTCTCCCTCGCTGATCCAGCGTGCGGACGCCGAGCGTCACTTGAGTGTCAGATAGTCGGAGAGTGAGCTCAGGGAAAAGACGTGTTCTGGAGGCGGTGTGTGTGTGTACACGCCCGGCTACTTTTTCGACCTGACACTTCCAGCAACCCCCCGCCCCTCCTCTTCCTCCAACAACAATCAGATCTTCAATTCCAAACATTTTACTGCACCTTATCTCTGCACCACTTTCCACCGCCTATATATATAAACACACACAGAGACCATGGCGAACGCCCTGAGAGTTATCCTGCTGTGCGCCACTTTTACTCTGTTGACCGGACGAGGTAAGATGTATCTATATGTATATATATATTCCCCCCACCTCCTATTTTCTCTTATTCTCTGAGCTCGGGTGGATCCCGATGTGTGTGTCTGTTTTCGTGTTACATTGTAACGGGCTGCTTACTTATTGACGCAGTGACCGCTCTTGCTTTGATGTCTTTTTCTGTCTGTTTTCTTCGCCCCCTCCTGCAGCTTGGGCGAGGGCTAATTCGCTTCAGAAATAGAGATAAAATTTTCGGTGTAAAATGCTGGAGTTTGTTGGTTTTTGGCTGGTGGCTGGGGGTATAGGTTTGCTGAGGGGTTGACAATGGGATTGATAGGTCGCGCCGCACTGCGCTTGGTTACAGCTCGCACGGAATAGTCTTATTTTTGTCCCCCCCCCCCCCCCTTCTCAGATAAACGTTTCGGTCCTTTTAAAGCCCCTTGGGTTTGATGTGGGTGGGGACATGCCAGCTTTGGCATTGGCATGTTTCAGTGACTGCGCTTCTTTTTTTCTCCCCCTTCCTTGTGGGGATGGGGGCAATTTCGGTGCAAAAAAAGTCGACCACATCTGCGGAGGGTTGGGAGAGTCAAACTATTCGCAGAGAATCTTCTGTCGAGAGATTCTGTCCCCCCCGCCAATCTCTCGGGGCTTGTAAATCGTTTCCTGACTCTGCATTTTATTTGCTTAAACAATTCCTTCGGTAAATGGCAGCTGCAGAAGGATATGCCCGGCCTACATCACCATCAGATTGAATTCAGCTCGATTCGCCTGGAGCTCACTGCGGTTTTCGAGCTAGTCTTCAAGTGCAATTCGTGGCAACGCATGAGTCAGTTCCTGTTTGCCTTCCAATGAAGGGGATTCGTGCTAGTTCAACTTCTTTTCCCCTCACTGACCCAATCACACACCACCAAGGTTCAAGAACAGCTTCTTCCCCTGCTGTTAATTAGACTGCTGAGTGGACCTCTCTATAACTTCAAATCATATTGATGTAGAGGTGCCAGTGTTGGACTGGCGGTGAACAAGGTCAGAAGTCAGAATGACACCAGGTTACAGTCCAACAGGTTTATTTGAAAACACAAGCTATCGGAATGCTGCTTCAAAATAAACTTGTTGGACTATAACCTGGTATCATAGATAGTAGGAACTGCAGATGCTGGAGAATCTGAGACAACAAGGCGTAGAGCTGGATGAACACAGCAGGCCAAGCAGCATCAGAGGAGCCGGAAGGAAACGTCAGCCTTCCTGCTGCTATAATGCTGCTTGGCCTGCTGTGTTCATCCAGCTCTACACCTTGTTGTCTCGGACTATAACTTGGTGTTGTCTGCCTTCTGACCTTTAAGTAATGTTGATCTTGCTTTGTGCACTTCCTCTGCAGCCTTAACGTTGTATGCCTCCCTCTGTCTAAGGACCCATCTGATCTCTATGTCCTTGTTTGCTATGATCTGCCTATGCTGCTTGCAAAACAAATCTTTTCACTGTACTTTGGTACATGTGACCACAATAAATAAAAACAAATCTGGCCACCTTAGAGCAGATTTAAAAGTCTCAGTTTGTAAATCACTGAAAATTATGCTTCTTAAGGTGCATTTCCTAACTCACTAGATTAATTACATTCAGAATCTGGGTGCTAATTTTATATATAAAAAAAACGCTGACTGACACTCCTGTGCAATATTGAGGCAGTGCGGCACAGTCTGAGGTGCAGTCTTTCAGATGAGATGGGATGTGGAGGTCTTTCATTTGGAATTAAAAATTCAGTAGCTGCATTTCCAAGGGCAGAGGTCCTGGCCAATGTTTATCCCCTAACAAACATCAGGAAAACAGATTACCTGATTGTCCTCCTGTTACTGTTTATCATTAATTGGCTGTTGTGCTTTCTATATTATAATGGTGACTATGGAAGTATATCATTGGCTATAAAGTGTTTTGGGATGTACAGTACTGCAACTATAAAACTTGCATACAAAGCAATCCATGTTTAAGATGATAGCATGATTACTATCAAGAGAGGAAGCCAGAGGAACAGGGAGATCTTGGGGTGCATGTCCACAGATCCCTGAAGGCAGTAGCCAAGCTTAAAAGGGTGGTTAAGAAGGGATCTGGGATCTGTCTTTATCGGTTGTGGCTGGGGTTATAAGAGCAGGGAGGTTTTGTTGGAGCTGTAGAGGATACTAGTTAGGCCATAACTGAACTACTGTTTGCAGTTCTGGTCATTGCACTGCAGGAAGGATGTGATTTTAGCTATGAAGAGAGGCTGGATCGGTTTTATTTAGAATAGAGAAGGTCAGATGGGACCCGATTGAGTGAGTACAAGATTACGAGGGGCATGGACAGGGTGGGTAGGAAGCAGCTCTTTCCCCTTAGTTGAAAGATCAATAATGAAGTAGGGAAATAATTTTTAAGGGAAGAGGTTTAAAGGAATTTTGAGGAAAGCTTTTTTTTCACGCAAAGGTAGTGGGGATCTGGAATGCACTGCCTTGGAGGGTAGTAAAGGCAGGAAACCTCACAACCTTTAAGAGTACGTGGATGAGTACTTGAAATGTTATAATATTAAAAGCTATGGGCCAAGTGCTAGAAAGTGGGACTAGTGTAGATAGGTAGGCTCAGACTCAATGGGCCAAAGGGCCTCTTCTATGCTCTGTGATTCTGAGAGAGCTAGTGCACAAGTCAAATGTCCTTGGATGAATATTTGAACTTTCTGAAATAAGCATGGTTTAACTAGTGCTGAGGTGCTTAAGCAGTTTTGTTTTTGTTTGTACCTGTCAATAAGATTGCTTTGACAGTGAAAATAAGGAACACACTGAGTAACATAAAAACCAAAAGAACTGCGGATGCTGTAAATCAGGAACAAAACCAAGGTTGCTAGAAGAGCTCAGCAGGTCTGAAAGCATCTGTGAAGGCAAAAACAGAGTTAACGTTTCGGTCCGGTGGCCCTTCCTCAGCGCTGTATTAATTGTGTTCCAATATTATAGCTTAAAAATAAGGGGTTGCCCATTTAAGACTGAGATGAGGAAAACATTTTCTGAATGTTGAGTATCTTTGGAATTCCTTCCTTTAAAAGGCAGTAGATGCAGAGTGTTTTAAATATTTTGAAGACACAGATAGTTAAATTCTTGATTACCAAGGGGATGGAAGATTATTGGGGGTATGCATGACGTAGAGTTAAGGTTACAATCAGATTAACCATGATCTTATTGAATGGTAGGTCAGGCTTGAAGGGCTGAGTGGCATAATCTTGTTCCTTGTTTGTATGTAAGTTTGTATTCTGAGAAAAAACTAATAATTATGGTGTATTTAAACAGTCATGGAGACTGCCCTGTTATATTGTCAAAAGTAATTTAATATTTTACATTATCTTGGAAGACAACATTGTGTAACCGTTTAAGGCATTAATATGAAAAAATAAGATGTTTAACTTTGTTCATGATGGATTAAAAGTTGGTAAACAAAGAATATACAACTGAGCAGTGCTGTTTTGAAGATTTATTCCATGCGGCAGTGAATCATAAATTCATAAACGAATTAAGTCTAATATTCTCTTACACTGGCCCAAAGTCTCTTGAAAGAGTCCCCAGGCTATTTATTCAAGACATGAGTAAAGCTTGACAGATGAATTTTAAGCTATTGGTAAAAAATCTGTTTGCATTTAAAAAAAAACACTTTCGCAGACACAGCATGTGCTTTGACAACCTCCCACAATGAAGATAGTTCTCCCACAACCTAAGTTACTATGCACAACATGTTTTGGTTAATGTGCCAGTGTTTTGCAGCTACTTCCCACACACTTTGTATCAGTTGAGCACTGATATGTAGCATTTGATCTTGAGCAGCCTTATCAAGGCTATGGCAGTGAGCATACATGTACCCCTTTAAAAATTGTTTCTAAACAACTAAGAAGATAAAGACGGTCAAAGTTTAGCTTTCTCAGTTAAAATTTACTTTTTGCTTCCGGATGTGACTATATAAGACAATTGTTGGGTGACATTAAGGGATTTAACTTGCTGTCAATTGTATACTAAACAAATCTGCTTCAGATTGTTCAGGAATGGATAAATGTCCCTCAGTGCTACTGTTAAGTTCAAAAATAAGTGAAATGATTCTAGGATTCTACTGAAGCCCTATTTAACTTTCATGTTCAAATTACTATTGCCTGCAGAATGTAATCTAATATTAATGCAGTGCCAGGAATTAAGTGGTCCTCACTATTTATGTAATTCTTATATTCACTTGGACAAAGAACAATTATTATTTGGTTATGCCATCCGATGAGCTGTTGAACAACTATTGTATTCTTACTGGCATGGACCCAAGTGATATCTTCTTTACAACTTCTGGTCACAATACTTTATGGATAAAGCTGTTACTAAAATTTTGTGTAATGTTATTTTATTTTAAATGCAGGTACAGAGAGAATGCTTTGAATTTTAGATATGAATGTAGGATCAGTGAAGTAGCATTATGATGTACCTTTTAATTTAGTTGTAATTTTACAAAGTTACATTGCAATGTATATTTATACACTTCGATTGGTACAGTTTCAACATTCATATTTTGGTTGGTTCTTTTTATAATGTCTGATGTACACATTAAAAGTGAAAACACTTCAGGCACACTATGGAAAATATAATTCCTCAAACATGTACATTTAGATGATGTTGGAGAAATTGCAGTGGTCTCCTTGCAGCAAAGGATATTGGGAAAGATTTGGTAGATGTGGACAAGGTTATGACATGTTTAGATATGATAGACAAAGAAAATCTGTTCTATTTGTGGATGATACAAGGGCAGGTGACACAGGTTCAAGATTTTGGGCAAGAGATGTGGGGAAATACTTTTTTCTTTCTACACGGCAGTGGATGAAATTTGTCTGTGAGACTGATGAATAATTTAAATTTTGAATAATTTCAAATCAAAATTGTGTAGGAAACGTGGAAACTATTAGGGTTAGAGCAGGGAAATGGGAATGACACTTGCCTTCATTGGTCAGTGCATTGAGTATAGGAGTTGGGAAGTCATGTT